AAAGTTTTTCTTCATTACCCATTTAAGAAGATATGCCTGTATATCACAAATTCAAAGTTATTCAAGATCACAATTAATTTGGCTAAGTTAATAAATTTTTGATAACAGATGGATAAGATAAACTAATTACAGTTCTTAAAGTTCCAAGATCATCACTATGCAGAATATTAATGTAAAGGTAAAAAATGTCCATGCTGTAGAAAAACCACTAGGAAGCAGTGGTCCTTTATTGTTAATTTCCTTAATAATGTTGGTAAAATGTGTTGTGCTTTTGGCATAAAATGGAAAATTTGCTGAATGTCTTTTGTGTAGTGGTCAATATTTGCTGATAACCTTTTGGTTGTCATATAGTTAAAATGAAGAGATGGCCTTGATTATTAAGTTTATATATCTTAGGTAAAATTTCCTTGAACAAGTTTGTTTGGGTATCAAGTAGAAAGAGGTATTTTGTCAAGTTTGAACAAGTCACATAAGAACTAAACAATGCTTTAAAAGACACCAAAAAGAAAGTACTGAGTCACAAAAGAAGAATATTTACAGCAAACTAGATTTGTAAAAATGAGCATCAGTCAATGCTATGCCCAACAAATCAATAGGAAGTAAAATTCTTATTCTACAATGCTTTACAAGACACCAAAACCAAAGTACTGAGGCACAAGAAAACTCGCTGATATGAATGTCATGAATGCCAGGGAAGGAAGTGATTTTATGGGAAGGTTTCACTAGTTTAATAAGTCATAGGGCTTCAAGCCCCCTCCACCCAGACTGTTATTAGTGTGATCCTCAATATCTTTAAGATGTTTTTGCTTATGTACATATACATCTCTTGTGCTAATACACATACACTTGTGTTGGGTAGAAAATAGCTTTCACTGTACATTTATATTTGTGTCCAAGTCTATTTCTTTGCACAAACCCAATTAGATTAAAAAAAAAATTCTGAATATTTCCTGATTGAATCTCTCATTATACACCAGCACTACCTGAAGTCACTCAGGGAGGGTGGTATTTTAACCAGAAAAAATATTGACAGTAACACTGTTTTTTCATAAATGGATATTTTCTGATAGCACTGTTTGTACTGACTTCTTGATATAGAAATACTTAATGGGTTCACTGCTTACTATTATTTCCTACTATAGGAAGAACAAAATGTTTAGATAACACTTCCAATGTGATAAAAAAAACGAGACAAAGGCAGTCAGGCAGGATATTTGTTTAGATGTGGGATATATAGGAAACTGATTACAATAAGGCTATCCCTATACAGACCAAATGTATGGACTAAAACAATGAAAAAAAATGTAACATATTACATAATATCAACTCTTAATTGGAGAACAGAGATAAAAAGTCCAATACCTTAGTAATTCACTAAATAGCTAAAAATTTATTATAAACTGTGATATTTGAAGTGCACATTACTCAAAAACAAAAATTTCAAGACAGATGAATGAAATTAAACATTTACCAAGGGCATGAAACATTCTTTAATATCATTTACTGTAAGCAGACACAGAATTATACAAGTTTACAACAATCCTTGTCTTTTAAGATCTTCAAATGTCTTCTTGTTGACAACATTTCCCTGATTATCTTCATATTCCTCCTACATTAAGAATCAAAGTTAGATATCTCTAACTGTTGGTTAAGTATAACAACTACAAATACAAGTAAATAAATACATATAACAACTACAAATGTGGGCAAACATTGATTCTCAGACACACTTTCTGATAAAAGAGCATAAAGAACTATATTCTATATGTAGTTCTCAATAATAAGAAACTAACCATGTCTTTTGTTTATGACAATAATTAAGTGTAATTCTAAAGATACCTATGTGCAGCTTTCTGGTTTAGAAAAAATTATATGTAGTATTCTGAATAATCAAATATTTACTTCAGAGTGCACAAAACAATTATAAGATTTTACTTTTACCTCTAGTGTTATAAACCTCTTAATTAGTTTGTAGTAAACATATTTACATAAATATAAAGATATCTGAAACTATATTCAACTTTTCTGGAAACTAAACACAAACCTCAACATTCCCTTGGAAACGTTCTTTCTGCTTTTGTTCTTTAAGCTTCTGCCATACTGTAAGATTAAACAAGTAAATATACAAGTTTTTAAACAAACCAGTACAGATCACAATCTCTAATCACTTTTAACACTAAAATGTATCTTCTACTGTCATTTGTATATTTGGTCATAAAAAAAATAACAATATGGAAGAAAATACTTTTTATGAACAACAAGAGTCACAAATATGTAATTAATTTAATTAATCATATTCTGTGCTGTGGTTATGAGATAGTCATTGTTATTGTAATTATCTTTAACTTTTATGCTGGGTTAAAAGGGCAAAGTTATCACTGACAACATATTGTAAGTAAATACAACTAAACTTCTATACATTTCAAAATGTAAATATATCTTTATTTATAAAAAATGGTTTTAATTATTTTAATGCCATGTTTCTGTACTGAGTTACAAGTTCTAGATGAATAAGATGCACTTAACCTTAAACTACACTAATTTTGCTCATAGGGTGTATGTCCTAATGTTTACACACACAAGTTCTGAACTCGTGCCCATCCTTGCACCTGGGTCATTTTGTGAACAGCTTGTTAAGCAAGTTCTCCAGCAGAATATCTATCATGTTGTGATATGCAGAGATAGGAAGGTTGGAGAATCTGGTTATCTTTTTCTGTTAACCCTATTGTGATAGGTCACATGTCAAAGGCCATGTCATTGCATTTGTTGAACTACTACTTTATTCATTTATATCAATAAGTTTAGTATCAAATCGTAAATTATAATTCAAATTTTAGTATTATATGTTACTTAATTTAAAAGTAAATATTAAAAAACACAGCTAAACATTGATTTTTGTGTGTCATGCGGTAAGTTCAATACAGCACTGGTTCAAATTAGATGTTTGTGATGTCAAAATACAAAATCTAAAGTTTCGTACGAATTATGAAATCAAACTACCGATATTGACACGATAGAATATAAAATAAAAATGTCTGATCTTTTCTAGTTGCTAAGATATCGCTCATGTACTGAATCAAACACAGTGGCCCCCTGCTCACCTCTTTCCATTTATTGAAAAATGTCCCTAATTTACACTTCTATATATGACATGAATAACCAATCGATAGCACAGAATGTCCCCCTATTGGTTTTCTCAGCCATTTTGATGTATTATTGAGTTAATTTTATTATTTTCACACAAGATTTCAAACGATACGGTAAGTCTTTAGTGAGCTCGAAATTTCATAATTTTTTAGACCCAAATACAGCTTCATTACTATGCTTGATAAATTATAGTGGAATTCTATTGTATCGATATAGTATATGGTTATTTAAATGTATATATAAAATGTAAAAAAAAAATATTTTGTTTCATATATCCCATTTGTGAAATTTTAAAAGGATCAGCAACCTATGACAAGCAGCAACCAAGTACAAAGGTCGTAACTAAAACAGATAATTCTTTGCTTTACTTCTTTATTTACTATTCTATGTTTTAAGAAAAATATGTTTAAGAACTAATTTCTAAATAGTAATAATCTATATATACATCTGATGTATAATAATGGAAATGTGACTGTATTTTACAAAATACTAGACTAATAAAACACGGCCAAGACAGATCACTTTGTAAAGACTAAAGATCAGTTTTACAATATTTGACACAGTAACATGAGAGCATGTGTCCTGCGTCATTGTAGCTTCTGTTTTGTTAGCCAGGCAAGGATGAAAGGTCAATATAATAAAAATAATAAATATATAATGATATGAGATTTTTAAGGTATTTAGTCTAAACATTTATGTTTTCATGTTACAAGTTCTTGTCATTCTAGAATGATAGATGCATAATCTATATTTATTTCCTAATTTTTTATAGTGGTTACAAGATCGGTCAAATGTAGTGAACCTGTAGAGATTCGTTAGTTTGATAACTATCTGAACATTATAAAGATTTTGCATGTATAATTTGAAAATTTTCTGATGCACAAAAGTATTTTTAATCTTAAAATGAAAATTACTTTGCATGTTGGATAGGCAACATGCAAAAAGAAAAAAGGCACAAGAAAAAACATTGCTTAACAAACCTTAAGACTTGATAAAAAAAAATTATATTTTGTGTATGAAAGCATTGTAATCTTTACTGATAATCTGCCAAATTTTGTTAACATACGCTTACTAATTTAAAAGTTATAGCACAAAACCATAACAATTACAAAGTTACGAGGTTGGTCCCAGGGACCAAGCCCGTGCTGAAAGAGTTAACCCTCTGTTCATGGGCTCGATCAAACTGACTGATTCAATAACGGTGACACTATAAATAATACGATTTACTATACTTTGAGTTTACAATATGTATCTTCATGAAATATTACAATTCTGTTGTTCAAAGAAAATCATATTTTCATAAAGTATCCTTCTCATCTTCTATATTTCATTTGCATAACCTCTAGAAACATCCTTAATGAACATAAATTGTTTCTGGTAAAACTTCCTATTTTATCTCATATTTTCTCCATCTTAACACAAATTTTAATTTTTTTTTATTTCTATATTTTGAACCCATTACCACATGTAAAATCCAATAACTCACAGCTTTTGTTTAAAAATATATGAAAAACAACAATTTGTAGTATTCACTGAATACTCAATGCATCTGGGTAGATGCTTTTCTATAAACCACAATGAGCTTCATAAATTTATTGTTAAAAAATAATTCATGTAGTTTCCAAATACGCATTTAAGGACAAAAAATATGCTATTTATTATATGAGAATGTCCCCAAAACTACTAAGTAGGTTATAAATAGATTTAAAAAACTCCACAATCAGAGCAGGAATAAGATGTTCACACACAAAGAAGCTATGACAGACTGTTATTCCATGTGTATTAAAATTAAAAATAAGTCTTTGCAGAGGATAATGTTGGATAGCAAATAATCTTGAAAGTCAAAGAGAGTCTAGGTTTCTCTAATGGGTTCAACAGCTTTATTGATACCTTGGCATATCAAGAAGACAGGACAAGGTTCATATACTAAATTCTTGTTTTTAATTATATATAGTTTGTGTTGTGTTCCTAATTGAGTGAAAACTGAAGCAACATATTTTGACACAGAAAATTCTGAAAGTAAGGAATCAAGTTCAAAGGCATCAAGTGACACATAAAAATAAAGACTGAGAATTTTTAAATATTTCATTTTGAAATTAAGAAGTTAAAACTTACATAATACACAAATTGGAATTATAAGCTATGTTTTCACATCAAGCTTATTTACATACATTGATGATAAAGTTGTTTAAAGCACAAACAAAGCCAGACAGGGATGTTAAGGATTAACATAGTTAATTCTACTGAACATACTTTTGGTATTTCATACTTACATCCTAGGGCATCTTCAATTTGTGTAACATTAGCAAAGTGAGCTGTGTTTGGAATTCCTAAACACCGCATACCATGTGCATGCCTCCATTCCTAAAAATTAAAATGGCTATACTCAAGGTTTACAACAAAAATGAGGAAGAAAATGAAACAAAATTCAGATACATCTCTGTTATGTTATTAAACATAATAACAAAATCACTCTAAAAACCAACCTATCTCTGCAATTGCTACTTTTAAAAGTTATAATTTAAATGGCAGAAGCTGGTGAAACATTAGAAACCATGAGGCCTAAACTTCATAATAAAAATCATGTTAACTGCAGATGGAATATCATAAAAAACCAGCTGCAGTTAACAAAATATTTTTCCCCAAATTTTACACACACATTGCTAAATTTGCTTTTCTGGGTAAGAAACAATATATATTTAAAAAAAAAACATTTTATTTTATTTCACTTTATGTAACATACTTCAAAATAAACTTTCAAATAATACAAAAACTGAAATTTGTAATTCCACACTTCTACTTTAGAGAACTTACAGCAAAATGTCTCTGAAAAGCCTTTGGTCCACGATATGTGTAATTCCCACAGATCTCACAGCTGTAACTAATGTTTAGACCATGCAGTTTGTATAACCAATAAGGAATGGGCTGCAAAATTAAAATATTTTCATGTTGACAGGCATAGTCAAAGATCAATAATGCTGGATATTAACAAAAATATAACAAAAATACAATATGATCATAGATAGAAAATTTCAAAAACTGCAATCTCAATTATAGTATTTTGGCACTTGTGTATAAAGTTAAAATCATAAATAATATTCAACGTTAAACTGGTACACAATTAAAAAAAAATTTTTTT